AGGACGAACAGGGAGGGCCCGGAGCTGGGGGGTCGGGGTGTGGGGTTCGCCTGTGGGCTGCAGGCGTTAAGAAAAGGAGGGATCTAGGAGGGAATGTCTGTTCTGAGAGTGGTCCCAGGAAAAGGAGGACCGGTGGGCTGTGGTGGGCAGCGGTTGTGAGAGCTGTGGGCATCCCAGGGGTGGGAGAACTGGGAGGCAGCTCCTGCTCTGGACAGCCGAGTCCGCTGCAGAAGCGTGTCTGTAAGAAAGGATTCGGTGAGAAACACGTCACTCGACTCTGGTTTGACTCGTTTGAGTGCGTGTGAATTTTTAGCTACCAAAACAGCTCCATCCTGTGTTTTGGGTGGTGCTCAGCACGCTGAGGTCCTGGTTGACTGATGGTGTTTGCGTGGGGGAAGAAACTGTATTAGTGTTGAAGTTCTGCAGACAGTGGGAGATGTCGGTTCGCAGGGATTCGACGTGGTAGTGGTTGCTCAGCAGCACTGATGTCATAAGAGGGTGGCAAATACATCAGAAACAGGGAAGGACTGCTCTTCCGCCAGGTGTTTTCTGACAAAACTCTGTTTCTGCGTGGAAAGTGACGTTGCTCAGGAATGTGACGTGACTTCAGACGCTGTCAGAGTGGAGAGACTAAAGAAAGGCGCTGTAGGTGCTAACTGGAGGCTCGTGTGAGCAAAGTGAACGTAACTGGGTGTTCATTGAAAGGGTGGTCACTGCCACCAGTGCTTTTTTCAGCCTGTCAGGTGTCACTCAAACTCCCAGGCTCGTTTTTAGACCTTCCTGAGTCCTGAGAGCAGTTGCAAGGCTGAGAACTGTCTGATGAGTTTATTTAGAGAGCTGCTCGGTGCTGGTTTTCACAGTAGGTGTGAGTCCATGTCCCTTAAACTGACATGAAAACATCAGCCTGGCTGGTTCATGAGAAATGTGATTGTTTTCCCCCAGTTCTGTGGGGAACAGCTACAAAGAGACTATGAAAGTCCGCAGCACTTCAGAGGTTTAGGTGCATCCTTCGTTAATCTGTCAGGTTTTCCTGCTTTTTTTGCAGAGTTCCCTTTAGAGAACAGAACAGAAGGTGTGTCAGTAAGCTGATGTGGTTTTTTTTTTTCTCCTTTCCCCCCGAACTTTCTTCAGGAAGAGGAGACGGAATGGTGGTGAAGATGATGGTTGTGTTCCACAGACCAAGCGTAGCACCCGGAACACTGTCCTTCAGGACACTTGGGACACTGAGGTGAGAGCCTTCTCAGGCAAATTCAGTCTCCTTTACTGCTGGGTGTAAATAACGGCTGGAATGTTCTGTGACGTTTTATTTGTGGAGAGTAGCTATTGAAAACACTTTTTTTTGCTTTGTTTATGAGGCCGTGAGGCTCGACTCTGTTGCGTGCTTCAGAGATCAAAATCTGTAAGCTGTGGTTTGGAAATCAGCGTGTTTTCCAGGGAACCTGGTTATCTTTGGACTGAATGTTTCTGTTAATAGACCTCAGATACTGATGTGCAGCACCCAAGTGAAGACACAAAACCAGCATTTGCTGCCATTTCTAGTTTTTCTGTCTGAAATGAGATGTTGAAGTGTTCAAGGCCAGGTTGGATGGGGCTTTGAGCGACATGGTGTAGTGGGGGGTGTCCCTGCCCATGGCAGGGGGGTTGGAACTGGATGGTCTTTGAGGTCCCTTCCAACCCAAACCATTCTATGTAGCGTATCCAGAACTGAGGAGGTGACTGGCGTGGATTACAGGTGTGTGTGGTCGCTTTGCCTGACCATCCATCTACTCTTCCAACATTTCCTTATAACAACGTGGTTATTTGGGGTCGGAAGTTGGAACGCATTCCAACTAGTGCCATACACGAAGTGCCCGTTGCAGGCAGTAGTGCTTGTCTGGTGTTCAAAAAATGCTCTGATAGAGCTTGATACTTCCAGCAAGACTCGCTCCTTCACAGCTGGAACACTTGAGCTCAAACTATTGGGTTTCTGCTCATGTTTGCCATGATCTTTTGCTGGACGTGGGATAAACTGTCCCTTATTCTCTCGTCGCTCACACAACAGGTGTTCCACGATGGTGCAATTTGCTAGCTATGAGATTCCTTTTTCTAAAAACCGCTGGTTTCCAGGCTGCTGCCAGATTTCCTGAGTCGTTGCCTGTATTAATCATCTGAAAATTCACTGTGTGCGTTTCTAATTAGCAATGTAGTCCTGTTACAAAACGTTCGTGGAGAAGAGCGTGCAGAGCAGAGGCTCTCCGCTGGGTTTTGTGTCTCTAGAAGTTAATGAAATGGGTTTCTTTTAAAGTTTTTGAAATATCTTTCTTTGTTGTACAGCCCCCTCACTCCAAAGATTGATTGCAGTGAGTAATTACAAACTATTGCAGTTTATTGAACTGTTAACTACACTGTGCTTGCAGAAAACGTTTTGTGCTATGTAACTTTGAGCAACGTATCTTTTCTCGTATGCTAAAGGCTTCAAATGTGTGTTTACATTTAAAATGATCCATGGCTCTCTACCCAACCATTTTTTTTGTGAGGGAGACTTTCTTTTAACCAGTACACCTTTACATGTAGCTGGTGTGATAGTGATATTGTATGGAAAACGCTCTTAACAGCCAAGATGATCCTCACGAAGGAATTTGCCGTGATGGAAAACGTTCCTGGTTCCTGTATTGCTGTTTTGGCAGAAGGGAGGCTCGCTGAGATGGAGTCAGCTTTGCTGCTTGGGTATAACGGGGAGAACCATAAATATTTGCTCATTGTCTGACCCTGCATCACTTGTCCAACAGGTTAAACACCTCTTCGTGTGTAGAGTAGTTAATGGCTGAACTCCCGTGTGGCGGGAGGAGGAAGACTTGAGTGTGGAACGAGGGATGGAAGTAGGAGTAAGGAAATTAAGCAAATCAGGAAAAACCTTCCTGGTGAGTGGCAGAAGCACCTTTGCTTGGCATTTGCTGGGGCAAAGCCACTAAAATGCAGAGATAGAACCAGCCTTGTTGTAGCCACACAAGAGTGGATTAACTCAGTCCGTGATGGCGGGTTTGTTCGGGGTGCCCGCGGGGGGATGGCATGGGCACGGGCACCAGCCAGACCAGCGCAGAGCTTGGCTGCTGAGGCTGTTCCATGCATGCACTCGTGTTGTAAAAAAGTGTGTTTTAACGCATTAAACCACGACTGTGGGCGAGGAGAATCTCTTGCTGTTGATGCCAAGTGGAGGAATGTGCCCACGGGACGCAGAGTTACAAAAATCAGTGTTCCCTTCTCAAGGGAAGAAAGTTCCCAACGTCAGCTACTGATGAATAAAGCTTGCTTTTTTTTTCCTTTTTGCTTGTTTTCTTGCAATGTTGGATCGCTGGATTGAGCATGCCCAGAAATTCGAGCCAGGAGTTGAAATCAGTATTAGTTGAATGTTTCATTAAGGACTTCCTGCGCCAAATGGAGAAGCTGTTGTGCTTATCCTGCACAAGTGCTTCCGATTGATGTCACTTGGACATTTTTGGCCGTTTGTAAAACTTTTGTTCAGTTTCCTGACACTTTGCCATTTGCACAGGCAGCTCTTGCTGATGAAGAGTCCTCACTAGGTGTGAGATATTGAACTAGGAGAGAAGGGGGGTGTGTAGGTGCAATTTCTAACTTGAAAGAGTACAGGAGGAGAGAATTGCTTTTCGTCTGAGGGCGTGCACACACCTCCTTTTCGTGAGATATTAGCTGGAGTACTGAGTCCTTTTGCCTTCCTCAGTCGAAGTTGACTGTTTTCTCTTCCTGAGCGTGGTTTGCTTGAGAACACAACCTCGGTGTGCAAATCAGGCAGCCGTGTTACTCAACCTGAACCTGGATTTTGTCAGGATCTCTTTCCAATTATTTTTGTCTTCCTCTTCATAGCTGGCAGCAATATGTGTAAGATGAAGAGAGTGGTTTGGTTTGTCCTTAGTGGCGGGTCAAACGGGGGCTGTTCTGTGATGTTATCCCTCAGTCCTTCAGTTTGAATCCTACATGAGCTAGATGGGATGTAAGGGGGGGTGGAACTGGATGATCTTTGAGGTCCCTCCCAACCCTGACCGTTCTGTGATTCTATGATAAAAGGTTTTTGCTGTTTTTTCCCGCTGGATTGTCCTTTCATTCAGGGTAAACATCATACTTGATGCTGACGGACTTTTACAGGAGGGAGACAGGTTCTCTTTGATCTGGCAGCGCTGCTTTTTGGCAGATTTCTGTAATGGTGTGCAATTTCTGCTCCCCTTGGAACAAACCACTCCCAGGCGACAGCTTCCCTGGGGATCACAGTGAACTTCTGCTTTGCGGTTCAGTCCGTGAGCAGCACGGGATGAAGAGGCTGCACTAGAGCTACGCTAAACATTAGCCAGGCAGAGCATTTCCCGCTGCATTTCGCTTCCTGGTGGGCCTGTCCTGCGTTTACCCAGAGGTTAGCTGTGGTGTTTTCCTTGCCACCTGCCTATAAATTCAGGAAAAGCCCTTTCTGCTCTCCTGCTGTTGCAGCTGGAGCTGCAGTGCATCCTCGGAGGGGCTGGCTGCAAGCAGCCGCTCCAGGAATTCCAGGAATCTGCAGTTGTGCTCTGCCACCTGGGGAATCACCGACGAAAAGCCTTTTGCTCCGATTTTCCCTGGGAAGGAAGGGAGTCTGCAGTGTTCTGACCAGCTCTTTTCCTTCCTGAAGAACTTTCTTTGGTAAAACATCGTTTCTGGTGGTTCCTCACTGTTGTGGCTGATGACAGGGTTCCCCAGAGCTCAGAAACACCGCTGTTTTATCCGGGGGGATTGCTGGGGCACAGCAGCGCTTGCTTCCCTCAAATCGAAGTTTTTTCTCCTTTTGCACCTGTGCCACTCTGCAGTAATACACTACTGAGGAAGGGCTGGTCTGAAATTCTGGTTAAAACCACGTTACACCTCTGTTAAACTCATCTTGAAAGATTTTTCAGAGCAGAGGGTCTGAATCCTAAGTCCCTGTCGTGAATGATCAAGATGCTACATCACACATCACAGGCTAATACGTTTAACAGGACATTTGTTTGGAAATTATTTAAAGCTTCTCCGTAGCTCCTCAGCGTGATGTTAAGGGGGACAAAAGAGGTGAAGATATCCTGTTGATACTTGAAGTACTCTGAGACTTTCGCTGGGCTGCTCTCCTTTGCCCTTTTGCTGAGAACTTTGTTTCGTTGTGTAGATGCCTGTCGTTGCTGACATGATGACTTTAAGGATTCTTTTTTTGTCTGATTGTAGTCCAAATGCGTAACAGAATGTGCACCACAGCCTGGGGAAATGGTAGGTCTTCGACGTGCTTTGGGCAACAAACGGGCTTCACGTGCTAGTGAGTTTTTGCTGTAGAGAAATGGAAATAAAGAAGAGTGTGACAAACCAGGTCTGCCAACAGCCTTAGATGTAGGAAGCACGTCCCAGGACACTATCTCGGTGTTAAAAAAAAGTCAGACATGCACAAAATAATCACTACTAACAGCTCTAAAATGTTCGTTAAGATGTGAAACTTCAGCAGTAAGTGACGCTAGGTTCTCATTTTGATTTTTACCTTGATTTTCAGAAGGTGGCTGTAACGAAAACCAGTAAGGAACACAGACTAAAAGGAAACAAAGTGTCCTGTGCGGTGGGTTTCTCTCCAAGGCTGCTTTGGCTTGTTGAGCGTGACTTGTGCTTCTGTGCAAAATGGGGTGGGCTAGCAAGCACCATTTCGTGGCTCCTCTCCGTCCTTCTGGTGTTCCCCCCCTCTCTGATGTCCGCAGCATTAGGAAGAGGAGCTGGTTGCTCGTGTAGTTACGTCTGCTGCTTCCTCCAGAGCGACCTCCCCGTGTGTTCCGTGTTTTCTCTGCGCTAGCTGAAGCCAACGCCAGCGCGGGTGCCCCCCAGCGCCCCGGTCCTGCCCGCTGTACTGTGGCACAGCCGGGGTGTTGTTGGTGCTTAGCAAAACAAGGCAGTTTGTGTGGCTGAATTGTCACGATCGGTTGTGGAATCAGTGCTGGGGGGTTTTCCAGTCGGCACTGGGATGTCATCCACCTCCGGGATTCCTGCAGTGCTTCCCGGGCCCTTCTGGCTGCTCGTTGATAGACGTGTCAGGCGCAGTTTGCGCCGGTCTTCACGTTTGCTCCAAAGTGGGGCCTTTCTGGATGTGGTGCTGACTGTTAAATTACTGTGGACTTCTTAAAATTTGTCTTCCTCTGCTGTGCCCACTGAGCTTTGACTTCTGTGGTTTTAGTTTATTACTTACAAAAATGTGGGGGAAGGTTTGACTGCTGTCACTTAACGCAGGCTGCTTTTGTGAATTTGCTTCCTATGGGATGGCAAAGTAGCCATTCTCTGATTCTTAAGCACCCAAATATTTGCAGTGTTGTCCTGAGCAGCATATCACACAGTAATGAAATATTCCAGCTGTAACTCATGGAACCTTTCATTAGCAGCCCTTAAAATGATGTAAACCAAACAGTTTTATGTCTTTGAAACACTGAAAATGATGGCTAATGCTCTTCCAGTCGTTACTGGGAAATGAGCCCTGTCCTCTCTGCGAGCTAAATCATGAATTCTCTTTTCTGCATGTGGAATCTTCGATGCCTGTCACTCTTTTGCTGTTGTGTGAAGTAAATTGTTATGGAAAACTACCAGTTACCATTGCAATCCCAGTGCTTAACTGGGAGGAGAGTAGTCGTACGTATGTCAAGGTGTTCAAAGACTTAAAACGGGTATTGTGTTGCATTTGATTTTAGCAGCCTGTTGCTTTAGATGCTTCAGGTATCATTTTAGAAAGATTGACTTGTAGGAAAATGCTTTGCATGGTGCTTACCTGCAACCTCTGCTGGAGCAGCAGCAATGAAGCGTTCCTCCTGCCCTGCCCGCCTTTCCTGACACATGCAGTCCGCAGGAACGCTCTTTATTTCCCAATTCTCTGATGAATCCAGCAACTTCACTAGTGCCAATGTGGGTCATGGGGGCAGAGCCGGTGGGCCTCAACCCGAAAGATTGAAATCCGAGGAACTGGAGGTCAGTGAGCCTCCGGGTGAAGGATGGCTCATCCCTTCAGCTCTGTTGTCGTGCGTTGGCAGGAACGGGGGTGACGAATGCCAAGAAAGCACTTGGTGGATTTACGTTAGTCCATCAGGCTGGATGTGAGCCCGAAAATCGGGGAGGGAGGGACTTACTGTAAAGATGGTTTGCTTAACTGAGGGGTTCATTATGGACAGGAGAGAAAACCGTGTGATTTTGCTCTTCGTCTTCTCTTCGTTTCAGTCCTCCTGCAGCGACAGCGGC